TTTTTTTTTTTTTTTTTTTTTTTTTTTTTTTTTTTTTTGGAGACGCCGAAAGGAGCCTGATTGTGTGCTGCGGCCGTGGAGTGACTCTGGATCTTGTCTTCCGGCCGGCGCCTCGGTTCCTGCCCAGCTGGATTTGGGGGGCAGCACTGCCTGGCGCGGGGAGATCAAGTGAGTATCGTGGCGGCCCTCAGGCTGCAGCTTGCCGACGGCGCGGGGCCAGTAGTGCCCGCCGCGGCCTCGCGCCCGCACTCCTCACCTCGCCCGCTAGCCGGTGTCCGCAGAGCCCCGCTGCGGGCCGCTCCGAGGGCCAGTCCGGGGCTTTGCTTCAGCTAATTGATTGTGTGCCTCGGATGCTAAACCTGTTGATCTCGTGAGTTTTCTGAGCCAGTACTGTTAATTATCCAGCGGCTTGACCCCCCAACCGCAGAGAAATGCCAGGAAATCTTCGCATTGGCTAAGAGAATTTCGTATGTAATTTTTGATGGTGGTGGTGGTGGTGGTGGGGTCCCTTTTAAACCTACAGCAAAATGCAGTTGTATTTTCCACTTCTGGATTCAGAATTCGCATTTTGAATAATTCACCTCCCTTTAACCCCCCCAAAGTTGCAATTACCTGGCAATGAAACGAGGGTCTGATTAGATCCTGGTGGAAAACTTAGTACAGTAGCTAACTGGATCTCTTGGATTTCCACTTCCCTTTTCTCTCTGCCTTTTGGATTTGGGGATGTGAGAGGCCGCTTTACAGGGTTATCCCAAGTTCAGATTCATCAAGATGCAACCATCGTGATTAGTTATTGGTACTTGGAGCGGGTCAGGTTAAGACACTTCTGGTATCCAAACGGAGCTGGGTCTTTGCGGTTTGCTTAGGGTCTAGACCCGGCTGAGGAAGGCAAGAACTCCTTTCTGTGGCCTGGAATTATCTGCAGGAACCCTGGGTGATGGGAACTCTGGCAATGTATTTGCATTAGTGTCTTCGGCGTTTTATCTTGCAAATGTACCCGTGGTGCTTGAAAGGGGGACTGTCTTCAGGGGTCAGGACAGCAGTGGAATTGATCAGAAGTTAGACCGGAGGCTCTGTGAAGTCATGGCCATGGCCGGGGGCCCCTTTGGAGCTGTGGCTGCCTTGGGCCAAGAACCGCAGAGTCGGATTCCGTTTCCTCCCTTTCTTGGTGTCCACCTCTGCCCACCACTCTCCTTTCTCTACCTTGGCACCGGTAATTAGGGCGCTGTCTCAGCAAGCGAGCTCCCACAGTCAGCATAATTAAACCAGGGCAATACTTTCATTTTGCAAAACCAATAGCCCCACCCCTCTAGTCCAAAATAACAATAAGCATTAAAAAATTATAAAAGAAAAGCAACCTATTTGGGGGAATATTGACTTCCTGAACCTTGGATCGAGAGGGAATGGGGGAAGGGAATTTTTTAAAAATCCACCACTTTACAGCAATCATGTTTTACATTATTCATTGATTTACTGGAGGAAAGGGCCAATCAGGAGCCATAGATATGAATGCACATCTCACCGTGCTGTGGCCTTACAGTAAACTATTTGCATCTTTCTAATGGAGTAGGTATTTATCCAGGGATTCCCATTGTTCGAAAGGCCTGGAAATTCAGTTCCTTAAACATTTAGAAAATGACTTTGTTCGAGACTTAAAATCCTTACATGGAAAGACTCTCCTCTTTTGTATGGCAGGTTACAAGGTTCAAGTCCCTAATGTTTTTAAGAGTCCCTTTTCCTTCCAAGCTAAAAATAAAAGAAGAAAAATTAATTTCCCAAACCCCTCCATATTCTGCATATTTTGCATTCACATTATCATACATGTCTCCATTTAAATGCAAATTAGCATATTTAACCCTGTGGGTGCTGAGACCCTGGATACATTGTACTAGGGTTTTATGGAATCTCTTGGCATTTTAAGGAATCATGGTAATAGCAATATTTTAAATGAAACCATATCTATATGACTTTATATATATACATATATATATGTAAACTGAGATCATTTGTTTTCTTGACTATTTTTCAGATGAGACTGCAAAGAATCATAAAATGAACAGACAATCCAACCGACTAAAGGTAATTTTAAAATTTACATTTGACAAAATCAAAGTGATGTAGAAGATAGAGTATTTTACTCTATTTACTGGGCAGTAGGCCTGCAGTGGGTTGCATATCTCCTAATTCATGCTCTAAGTTTCTGTATGTGCAGCTTTCTCCCCTATTGGGAGCCTTTGTATATTATGTATCAAGCACAATACAAATATGACCTGTAACGCCCTGTTAAAAGAAATTTGAGATACAGAATAAATCATAGAATACTTTGTTAGAAAGTAAGCCTGTCAAGTACCTTGCCTGAACTATACAAGTCACTGTAAATTAAATGGCTTTTATGTAGAAAATGGTAGTCTTCACTGTACCAGTGGACTGTTGTTTACATGCATTGGAATCATACAAACCAAATATTAAAAGGGGATTTCAGTGATAGACCAATTCTTTATGCACTTTGCAGTAGTCTGAATAGGATTCAGAGGTGTTCTAAAAATTGGTGACAAACCTAAAGTGTTTGAATTTACGAAATAGCATAATTCTAATCAAAATAATGTGGAAAACATAACTTTTCACTTTTAAGTTAAACAGAGATTGTTTATTCCCAAGTAAACCAGAATGTTTCAATTCATGTTGCAGCCATCTGGAGACCTATAAAAAGATTAGAAAACAAGCATGACAATCACGTCCTAATCTACTGGCCATTAATGGGAATTTATTAGTGAATGAGCAGGCAAACCATTTAAATTCAATATATCCTTCAGTATGCAGATTTCAAAACTGATATTCTGCTCATCTTAATAGCATTTTGAAAGCAAAAACATCTGATATAACATTTAGGTGTGTTAATAGTTGCTCTTAATGTGCGACAGACATTGCTAGGAATCTTTAGAGCTACACAGTTGTTTCAACTTGTCTCACATCCTGCACAATAATACAGTCTTTGAAATATGTATGATAAACCATCACATATACCTTGGCAATATTCAAAATAATCAGATGCTATGTGTTAAGCCTTACTATGTAGTTTTTATTTCCGAATATCCTGAGACATGGTGGATATTAAAATGTTTAATTGGCTATCTGGCTAATGAACAGACTGCCCATAATCCTAATGTTGGTTCTTTTCACTTATTGGGGCTCCCATGATGAGTCTATGCTATATATACCAGGCACAGGGACCAGGCCTGGAGTCAGCTGATATGTGGCATTGCCCTAGAAGATGTTATTTTAAGACAGTATCTTCTACAGCTTCTAATTGTAGAAGCATCTCAAATGTTCAGTGTCTTGGCTTTCATGATGGGTACTTTGGTTCTAAAAATGCATTTAGTTGCTTACTGTGGAAATATAGCCATGATACTTGGCAAATTCACACAGATATGGGAGTGATAAACATACATAGACAAATGCATGACATCTCTTTGCTTCCACCAACCCCCACTTAGGTATATATAAAGCAAAAAGATATTCTAAAAATAGCTGTGATTTCTTGGGTTTCAACTTAAGGAACTCATCTGACCAGATGCTTGCTTTATGTGTTACATGACAAATCACTAATGATTCTGCTGTTGTGTCTTGGAAAGCAAGGCCACAATACTCTTACTCTTCCAAGGCAGCAAAGCTCATTTGCATTTTACATAATGTCTACAGTGGAATGTGCCTCGGTGATATGTTACATTTTTATTTAGTAATTTATGTTGTGGCCAGACAGTTCAAGAAGGAATAGTAACTCCATGGGGGTGTATTTATCTGAATTAGTTTTTGGTTTGCTTGTGCATTTTATATATAACCCAATGCAGCCATTTTTGATTGTACCTCTTGTACCGTAATTTGATAAGAAAAATAGATGAACAATTTCAACAGCTTAGTCTTTTCTAATTAATCAGTACTGGAATGTTCACCAAAAAAGTAAATAAATAAAAAATCTAGGGAAAAGTTGGCATCTATGTTACTAAATCATATCTTTAATTGGTGTGATATTGTAGTTTAAACTCTTGATTGTAGGCTTTTCCTAACTATTCTGATTTTCTTGTCAGTCTTTTCTATAGGGTTTACATATATGTGCTCTGTATGTAATTCAGTAAGCATGTTCACATTCGTGTCTTACCACTAAATTAAGGAAAGAGTGTATGTTAATTCCAAAAGTGTTTTAGTTGTTGGGGAAAATAGTCAATCTATAGAAATGAGAGTATTGTGATAAACTAGTCATGTGTGCAATGAATATTAAGAGGTATTAAATTCTCTAATAGCATATATTTTAAAGAATGGCAACATGACCAAACATAAGTCGAAATTTTAAAAAGCAGTTTATAAGGTTCACCCTTGGTAAATATGAATCTTATGTAGATTACCTTAGATGTCCTGTTGAGGGACATTTGAATATTACAACTACACGTATTACAGATGTGTTAGACATAGATTACTCAAGAAGAAAAGGACTCTTTGAAGTAATCATATTCACACTTTGAAAAGTTCTAAGAAAAGGAATGAGGCTAATTAATTAATAAAACAACATTCCCTCTAGATAAAAGAAAGGTGGGGGTGGGGAAGGGGAAGGTTGTGCTCTTAACATCTAGGTGTTTTATATGTATTCTTCATGAGGTAACAATGCTTTTTTCATAGTTTCAGAAGCAAGACTAATATATTTTCCTTTTGTATGAAAATTGATGTTTAAAACAATAGACAAAGGCTCAGCATTTTTATTACAGCAGAGTTGTGTACAGCATTAGAAACTATTGCTGCAATGTTTACCTGTGCTGCATTCTAACACACACACCCTACATATGCAGTCATTTTTTAAAAACCAGGATGAAGTCTGCTTGCTTAGAGCATTCAGTCTGAACTTACAGAACAAAATACGCTGCCCTATCGCCATGGTACGTATATACAAAACATGACTGAGCTGTGAAGCCATTAAAAATACACCACCTGAGCAAATTGTCAATGTAATCACACATCAACTCACTGCGTAATACAGATCTGATTCTCAGCCCCAGAAAGCGAGGCCCTGCTTTAAGCAATAGCAAAGTGCCTTCCATCTGTCTGCCTATGCAATCTGCCAGAAGAGAAATGCAGGCAAAGACGTTCCCCAGATCTGAAATGCTTTTATCTGTCCTTAGAGAGAGATTTCTTCCAGTCTTTGGATATTAGAACGATCTACACTAGCACGGAGGAGGTAAAAGGCCGCAGGTTGCTTTTCCAGGAGCAGTCGGTAGTGCTAGCGGAAGAGATGTTGATTGAGAAAATAGGGCTTGTTGCAATGTCGCCGCTACTGCTGCTGTCGCTGTCGCTGCCGCTGCTCAGGCAGCAGGCGTGGGGCAGTTGGCTGATCACTGATGCATATCAATAACCATGTACTTGAGATTTCTCATGACATCATCATTACCTTGGTCTCCTGCGGTCTCGAACCTTTGACCTTGCCGGGCTGGTCCACAATTTGGCAGTGAAAGCCCCTCCAATGATGGCCCTTTTCTCCTTCTTTCAGACCGGGGGCAGCAGCAGGCCAGCAAGACGGCATCTTCTCCTTCTGAGCCTAGAAGCCCTGTGAAATCGCGGATCTTCCCCCTAAAACACACACACACAAGATATGTGCAATCAAGCTGCCACCACTTGGTAAAAAGCTCATGGTGCCTAACCAAAAAGGATCAGGAGCAGATCCTTGAATCAGCTGTCACTTCTATAGAATGGGATGTTTTTTTTTTTCTTCCTCTTTAACCTGCGCTGGAAATTGCCGTTGGCTTTGTACATCTCTATAGAGAGAGGCTAAAGAGTCTTGCGTGAGAAAGAAGCGATTTACAATGCAAATAGAGGCCTGTGAAGGGACGGATGCTGCTGCTCACTCGTAACAGCTTGCTGCACCTTAATAGCTGGTTTTATTTTCTGATATTAATAGATGAATTGTTGGCTAACGCTGCCGGAGATTACTTGCTGAAAGAAAAAAAAAAGTTCGGAATAAACTCTGAAGGCAACAGATCTCATTTGGATGTTTCAGCAGCGCGCACACACAAACAGAAACCAGGTCATATTTACATAAAAGAGGAATCTTAAGCGCGGCAAGTATCCTGGACGACTACTCTTCAGTACTGCCAGAAAGGATCGGGACCTGGAGTCTGGCAAGAGAAAGACAGAGGCCTGTGTGGGAAGCGAGTTGTTATCTTTGGTTATCTAGCTGTATGAGTGTATTGGTCTTCATAAAGCTAGATAACCGAAAGTAAAAACTCCTTCAAGATCGCCGGGGAGCGTGTGAGAATGAAAGACTACAACCGAGAGACAGTAAAAACCAGAAAGGTCAGGAATACTTATTGAATCTAACTTTGTTTTTGTTTTTCTTTTGTGTGTGTTTGTTTGTTTGTTTTTTTCTTATGATTAAAGGTGGGATGAAAGGAAATTAAGTGACACACATATGCGAAAATATGAAGGTGCCAGATATATCTTGAGAGGGGTTGTGGCAGCGGCAAAGGAGAATTGTAAAGTGCTAATGAGTAAAGATGCATGTGCAATTTGTTCTATTTTAAGGCAAAAGTTTATATATGAGAGATTTTTTTTTCTTAGAAAGCTGTTGCAGAGATGCCTGGTACCTGGTTTTAAAATGATTCCATAATATGTAGAACTTGGGCAGTTCCCTTCTGAGGCTCCTCCCCCTCAAAATTTGAAGATTGTGCTTGGAAATTACCTTACACGTATGTGGGCTGTATGTCAATTTATACGAAATTAGACTTTCAGAGAAGTTTATACTGGAAGGTTAATAATTTATATCTACTGAGGGTTTAGAGCTAGCAGGCAAAATGAAAAAAAAAAAATAAGCAAGAGCTGATTTTTATTCTTCTATTCAAAATACAAGCACAGATGCTTCTCTGTTCCAAGAGGGTTTCCTTGAGGAAGCTACTGAAGCAGAAAGACATGATGGAGACGAGATCGCCTCCCCTCTTGTCAAAGTGTTAAAAAAATATTCTGTCTTACTCTGCGCCTAGCATTGGAAATGAAAGTGACATTTACGCCACAACCCACGTGTGCGCCTCCTCTCTTTTTGTTTAAGGATGATCAGGTCTATCCAGGAAACAGCTCTGGCATCCCAAACTGAAATAATTAGGACGTATATAGACCTGACAAAAATGGAAAGGGGGTGGGGAATCTGAGGGTCTGTCTTGCCTAATTGATTCCGCTAAACGGAATGCAGGAGATGTGAACGGCAGGACGCTCCGATTCCCACGCTCGGGGGCAAGTGATAAAGCGGGGCCGGGCAGCCTATGACAGACAGCCCTGTTGGGGGGTGGGGGTATGAAAAAAACATCAAGTGCACACACCATACTCATCTCCATCGCTTGAGAAAGTAAAGGCATTTCCCACCCACAGCCATCTGCAGCTTCCCAAATGGCAACACCAACTGGTCTGTAGCTGCTGCATACTGTCTGTTTCTGTTAATTTTTTAACCACTGTGTAATCTGGCCATAATTAAGTTTAGCTTTCTTTGTTGTTTGAGATTTTCAGGATTCAAGGAAAGCTAGTAGAAAGCAATTCCAAGAAAGTCCCATCATTGCCTGCCCCTCGTGTCAAAATCTCAGTCCATGAGATTATGGCCTTGGTACCACATTTTGGCTTTTGTTTTGGGTGGGCTGTATTTTAAAATACATACTCTATGTAACAGTCGTTATTATAATTTCATGAGGCTTTTTGCCTCTTAACATGATATATCTAGAAACTTGATCTAATTGTGCTAGTAGATACATACTGGAAGAAAAACTATAAAGTCATTAACCTGGAGGAAGTTGATTATGATAACAATATGATAAAAAGTTTGTTTTAGAATAGACTCAGCTAGATGGGTCTAAATAGCCATTTTAATTTTATCTAAAAATAACACTATGCCTAGCAGAAACTTTGGCTCTTTGGAGGTCCCCATTGTCACCTTTTTGTAAAAGTCCTTAAGTTTTCCATATTCACCTAGCAAACATTTGTATAGGCATTTACACAGAAATATAACCATTGCAAGTAGAAAATATCCAAAATATCTTGTTATCTTCCATGTGGCCTAGATTACTGACAATCCCAAATATACAGTTTTTTCTTTAAAAGTAGTACAATTTCCTTTGTAGCTTCAATTCCTTATATGATTCAAACTGGAGCAGGCTGTTAAACCACTGTTACTTTCAGTTAGAAAGTCTTTGAGACTTTATATACATAAATTCTCAATTTGGCTGCTGTACACGTGCCAAAGTTTCACTACTGTAGTGACCGTTGAGAAGACCCTTGTTTATTTACATTTGAAGCACGGTTTGTGCAAACAACCTTTCATTGTTAAGTGCCTGTATTCCTTTCGTTTACTTCATGTCCAGGGGTGCTATTTACCTAGAACCATTGTCTACTACAATTAACATTTACATTACAAAGTGTGTGGTTTTCTTTCTCAAGGAGGTTCAATTAAGGCAATAAGATGTTTGCTGGGGAAACCTATTGTTTACTGAAAGCACTCAATGGAGTCAAATTACTGAAGCTTTTGCCTACATCTTGGTCTTTTATGTAAATATGTTAAAATAACATCTAAGGAAAATAAACAATATTATAATTCTGTGTTTGCCATTGTCATATCAAACTTGCTTTGTATCATACTAATGTTACATAACTTATCGATCAATAAAAATACATTTCAATGTTATTATTTTCATTTTATTTTTTGCTGTTCCACTGCTCTTGGTGCAACATGTCCCAATTTTTTCTTTTTTCTATTACACATCAAACTTCTGACATTTTGTTTTATTTGTGTGTGTTGAAGAGAGGTACTGTATCTAAGCATGGGTTTGAAGGGTGTTGCAAATAATCTCTACATTGACCTTTTAATAAGGTGATATTTCTTTGAAATCTGAAATATTCCAAAGGCATGTACATTTAAGTCAAAAGAAGTGTAAATATCAGTTAAGTAGTTCTTTGAAAGCTAGTTTTAACATTGGCAGAAACCAGATCAAGTTTATTTAGCATACCACTGCATTGTAAAACAGTTGGAGTGAAGTTGCAGGTTGCGTGAGTATGCATGTTAACTAGTGGGAACCAAGCGCAGTCTTTGTGAAAGGGGAGCAGCAGATTGCTGTGCAAGGCCAATGTTAAAAAGGCAGCTGAATTTAACACCATCTGGAAGAAAAGATCCCTTCACGACTTTCTCACACCGTCAGACAAAACTAGTGTCTCTTGTTCCGAGCCCTTGTCTATGCAACCATACAATACTGAGTCATTATACTTTTGCTGAGAGAAAATTTGAGAACACAATATGGGTAACCAGTGAATGACCAAGTTTCATTGTGCCCGCTTAAGTCGATTGAAATCTACGTCTAGAGCTATGAATGGTAGTATTGTTTTCCTCACCAGGGCTGTACTAAATGTCAGCACAGTGTAAAGAAAAACTGTAAAGGAAAGTCTGCAAATAACTTACCAGATCTCAATTATAATATTTTCCCACACTAGAACTAATATCATTGCGAGGGGCTACATTGCAGAAAACACAAAAAGAAACGAAAAGAAATAGAGAGTTCATTTAGAATTTATTTTATCTAGACAAACATTTTAATTTTCTGATGAGAACTTCAATTCAAGCTGCAGGCTGGGATAAGAGGTAGAATTCATTACTGGGAAGTTCAAATTTCAAAAATCCTGCTTATGCAGTTAAAATACAATAAAACAAACACCTAGTCCTACCTGAAGCTCTCTATTCTTAAATATAAATGGACGCTACTTGGGTTTTATTACTTTAGTTCTGCATAGAATTGTTAATGTTAATCTAGCTTAAATTTTGTGTTAAATTACGGCACACTGCTCTTTCAGTTTGCCACTGTGATTGACATTGCAAAAGAACACCATTTCCAAAAATATTTAAGAACATTCTGGCACCTCCCTAGGTGGATCTGGTGTCCTCAGGAATACACTTCCCTTTTATGTTACGCCCCTCCCCCTACTTTCTAACTTTTTCCTCCATGATAATGTGTGTAAAGCAGTTATCCTTCGATTTAACAGTCATGAAATCTATTTGACTGTAAACAGTCAGAAAATGGAAACAAAACAGTCAAAAAAAGTAAATGGAGTTGGTTGTGTATGTTTTACTAGAATGTCTATTTTAAATGTAATTGACTTTGCAATTTTGTTATTGTGTCACCAAGTGTCTCATAGTTCTTAACATGTAAGTGCAAAACAATGAGTAATTGCTGTTTTGCTGAATAATACATCTGAGTTGCCAACGTCAAAGGTATTATTTTGTGTATTTCTAAACAGGAACGTTAACTGCAGGTTTTGACATCTAGAATCTTTCCATGAAATAACTAAGAAATAGGGCAATAAAATGATACCTATAAAAGTAAATATAAAGATAGAACCCATTTATTTTCTTTACCCTACTTTATTTACCAGAAAATTAACAATGAAAACTCACTCACTAATCGAATAATAAAGGATATAGGATAAACACAGTCACACACAAAAAATACAAAAGAACAACAAAAATGGAAATTGGATGAAGGTTAAAAAAAAGATACAGGAAGACTTCTTCAGGGTCCTTGCTGAATGTGAATGGGTATATTCACTAGTATCAGTCCCTTAATGAAGTTACCATTATGTATAATAATGAGATAAATGCATTATTTACATTCAAAATGAAATATTTTCCAAAGTGACTTTTCTTTAAGTCACCTTAAACAGTAAATTTTCCTCTACGAGAGCTCTTTGTGTTTATTTTTAAAATTAAAATAACTTTTTCATTTAGAAAAATATAAAATTTTAGTTTAATTTTGTGTAGCCTGTTGAAAATTAAGAAACCACTTAAATTATAAGAGATATAGATGAACATATACAAATATTTTAAGATATTTTAGCATTTTAGGAATTTTGCCTTTTTTAAATGGAGAGATGAAGCCAAAGGTTTTATTTTCCAATGTGGCCAGAAAATGAATGAGAGTGTGTAACTATGTGTCCAGCTTTTTCCTATTAATCTATACGTCTGGAAATGCCACTGTGGTTTCAGAATATTGATACCCTCTCCTCCCTAATTTGCTACAGTAAGTAAAATACACCATAATATGTTGCATTTAGAAGGGGGCTGGAGGTGGCAGTGGTGAAATGGGTGACACAGGACACGGTGTCCTTTAGGACTAAGAACTAATTAGAATCAGCTATTGAGTAAAAAGATAACCTATAATGCTGGGTCGATTGTTTTAACAGGAGTACTTCGAGACAGTTAAACAGGTCCTACAGCAATGGGGCATGTAAGGCAGTTCTTCAGTGTCACTGGATTTTAATGGATGGCTTTGTTACCCTGTTTTTCTGCTCATCGCTTTCTTAGCACAAGTTAAACAACCTAGTACAGAAATCAGCATAACCCTTCATTCCCATTTGCTCAGAGAGCCCATTTCACCCTTTCTGGGAACTGTTCGACTTCTTTGTGGCATTAATTCTAAGGTGGTGAATAGAAATGGAAAGTATATAGCTGTGATTGATGTTAAGGAATATCCATGTACCCTCAATCAGGGCCGCGAGTTAGTGCACTTCCTTAGAAAGGTGATGACCATGTTTGAGGTGGGAGCATGTGGCTTTCTGCTTTTCAGCCAACTGCCAGACCACAGGGGGTAGGGCTTTTAAAAAGTGCAGATAATCGACTTTTTTCGGGGAAATATGGAGTTTGGAGCCATATTTGTTCAAAGAGCAGCACATCACTGTGCTTGGTGGTTTGACTCGGTTTTAGCAGAGCGCGGGCACAGCGCATTCTGGAGATCTAAAAATAGCCAGGCTTAGCAGCCGCCTTGCAAGGTACTTGGCGTGGGCGGTGCACAGAAGAGACAGCCGACTCTGTGACTGGCTGCAAAAGCGGTTAGGCTAGGCAGTGGCAGCGGCGAAGGCGGCTGGCCCGCCGCGGGGCAGGACGACGCCTCCCGGTGACCGCCAACTGCCCGAGTCCTCCCGCAGCTGCTGCGGCTAGCGGCCCTCGCCAGAAAGCAGACGTCTGATTGGTGTTTCCCGGGAGACGGGCTGCCCTGGCTGCCAGATCTGGTGCGCCGGCGCGCGCGCTCCCGCGTAGGAGCGCGGCTGGAAGGCCGGGGGCGCGCTGCGGCCCGGGTAGCGGGCTGGGAGGCTGCCCAAGTTCGCGCTACCTCAAGTTCCCGCGCCCGCGCTCTTCCGCTTGAAGGCTGCGGGACCTCGGCGCTGCGCCGCGGGGCTCGGCAGGGGCGGGTAGTGAGCCTGTCCTTTGCCTGGCAAGCTGAGCTGCGTCCGCGATGGCTATTCTGTGGGTTTTTGGTTTTTTTGTTTTGTTTTGTTTTGTTTCTTTTGCCCTCCTCTCGGCCCCTAACCAGCGACCTTGGTCACCGCCTCTGCGCCAGCTCCGGTCTGCGGTTGCCTGGGAATCCCTGAGTTGGGCTTGTGAATAGGGGTGGCGTCGAGGTTTAGTCACGCCTGGACATCGTTAGGGTTAGGCATCTCCCGCGGCCACCCCCTGCCACAGGGCCCCTTTCTCAGGCGGCACGCAAGTTGTGGTGAAGAGGCTTTCTTTTGCTGACACTCGGTTTCTCTAGTTTTGCCCAGGCTTCTTCCCTGGACGTGATCAATATCATTGATAAAGATACTGTGTAGCCCCCAACTCCCCTCCCCCTACCCCACACACGATTTTTAACTTAGTGAAAAGCTGCTAACGGAAAGGGTCTCCCTGCGGGGAAACTCGGGGGTGGGGCGGGGGCGGGGAAGTTTTGCTCGGTGGCCGGCGTGGGTGAGCGCTTGCCGCTCTTGGCCCTTCCCTGAGGCAACTCCCATTTCCACCCCCATTGCCCATCAGGAGCTCAGGGCGCATCTCACCCCATCATCAGATTTGCTGGAAATATTAATCTCCTTGTTGGGTGGATACAGTAGAACTTATTCAGAGATTACTTTAAAAAGAGATCTGGGTCTTAAGCACTTACTAAAGCCAGTTAATAACATCATGCATGGACATTTAAACTTGTTGTAAGTTGCAGAGAGGATTAGCGGGAAGTCACGCTGTGCGCAGCTAATGATACCATCTTAACTCTAACTGGGCTAAATCCACCTCGCCCGGCGCAGGTCCGGCTCTGCGGCCCTCGGGTGAGGCTAAGAAAGAGGGTCTTGGAAAGAGGTCTTGGAAAGAGAGCTGAAACTGAAGGAGCCGCCCCGATCCTTCCTGCGCGTGACGGTCACTGGTCCTGGGAAGTCGCGGGTGGTCCTGCTGTTGCGTGGGCACGAGCTCTGGGACTGGGGTCCAGGCCTCCAGGTGCACACGGACGCACCGTCGTCCGCGGGCTGAGCTTCAGTGACACTGAAGGGCACTGGACAACATGTCAAAACAGTTTTGATTCCATGATTCAAAGGGCGGGCAAGGTCTCTTGTAAGCTCAGGTGAAATAGTGGGACTCCAAAGGTAGTGGCTTTCTTGCTGCTGGTCGATTTGCATTACAGAGCTCGTTTAGTTTCAGTTCCACTTTTACAAAAGTAGTCAAGCTCTGTATTTCACAGTTAAATTTAGAAGCATATTATTAACAACTTCCTATCACAGTCTTCCTCAACTACTTTCGGTCTGATTACTGTTTCAAAGCAGTTTGCTACTACTTTATGACAGGACCAATTAGAAATAATCTTGAGAAAATGCTTCGAAAATGCTGCGTTATTAAAACACTTA